CATGGAGAATATATCTTCATTTTTGAGCTCGCTGAGCATGAGAGTCGCTCGTAATTTAAAGGGGCAATTGAGGAAAGGCGTGCAGGTGGTTCCAGGGGGACTCATTAAGATTTAATGAATTATGATGCGACCTTCTGCGAACAATGAGCAATCAATGCAAGCGCTGAGTGACAGAACATCACATCGACTGCGGCCCATAACCTTAAACCGTGTGTAGTTCTTTCTTTTACACTCTACATTAGCAGTGCGCTAACCCAAGTGTCCATTGACAGAAGACTCTGTGATTACGCTGCAGTCCGGACGGCATCCTGTCTCTCTGTGGTTATACGCGATCTCAGCCAATGAAGTCTGGCGTCTCCGCATACATTTAGTGTGTGCATCTCTAAACACCTGACACAAAACATAGATGTGAGTTTATTTCCACTGTGACAGCTGCCAATAGAAGTATACACTGCTCACAGATTCCTATCATTTCTACTGACATTGAAAGACCATGAAAGAGATGGCGGAAGGTAGAGGTAAATTCAGGTTTTCGGATAAGATTTTCTCTTACCCACCATCTCATAATTGGGAATTACGTTTTAAGGAAGATCATTTTATTTGATGGCTATTTTTGAGTTATTTTGCATTTTATATTTCAAATTATTTATCATTTTATATTATTTTCCATCAGTCTCAATGCAGTTGTTTGGCAATGTATTCTATTATTCTATTCTATTCTATTATATTCTATTCTATTCTATTCTATTATATTATATTATATTATATTATATTATATTATATTATATTATATTATATTATATTATATTATATTCATCACTGGTGTCAAACTGACAATTATTGACAATTTTAAGAACATTCTATTCTCCGTTTGTTTCTTTCACAAACAGATGCCAAATCAATTCAGCTTGGGTTAAGTTAAGATGCAAGGTAATTTATTTGTTTTATTTATTTAAGGAATTTTATTTTTACATTTTATTTTTATACAATGCCATTTTATGTCATTTTCCACCAGGCTTGGTTTGGAAGTCAAATCTCTATTCTATTCTATTCTATTCTATTCTATTCTATTCTATTCTATTCTATTATATTATATTATATTATATTATATTATATTCAGCACCGGTGTCAAATTTTTTTTTCCATTCACCACTTTTTCTGAACACCATTTGTGTTTTTATTGACAAATTTTTCTTTCTTCACAAAGACCAATTCAATTCAGCTTAGGTTAAGATTCAAGGTATTTTACTTTTTCAAGGTTTTATTTATTTAAAGATTTAGATTTAAACAATGTCATTTTATGTAATTTTCCTCCAGGCTTGGTTTTGAAGTCAAATCTCTATTCTATTCTATTCTATTCTATTCTATTCTATTCTATTCTATTCTATTCTATTCTATTCTATTCTATTCTATTCTATTCTGTTCTGTTCTGTTCTGTTCTGTTCTGTTCAGCACCGGTGCTTAAGATTCAAGGTATTTTATTTGTTTTATTTTTTTCCACTAGGCCTGGTTTGGCAGTCAAAACTCTATTCTAATCTACTCTATTCTATTCTATTCTATTTTATTCTGTTCTGTTCTGTTCTGTTCTGTTCTGTTCTGTTCTTTTCAGAACCGGTGTCAAACTTTTTTTCATTCACCACTTTTCTTGACAATTTTAAGGTAATTATTTTCTCTGTTTGTTTCTTTCACAAAGAGAGACCAATTCAATTCAGCTTAGGTGAAGATTCAACGTATATTATTACCTGTTTTATTTATTCAAGGAATTTCATTTTTAACCATAATGTCATTGGATGTTCTTTCCCACCAGCCCTGATTTGGAAATCAAATTTCTATATTCTATTCTATTCAGAACCGGTGTCAAACTTTTTTCCTTTTTTTTGTGACAATTTTAAGAAAATTCTTATTATAATCCATAGTTGGATTCTCTGTAGTTGTCTCTTCTGTCTTTTGCCAGTTGTGTGATAGCTGTAATGTAAACATGTTTAAAGTCTGTAGAGTGAACTGACCTTTACCTCAGGGAAAGAGTGTGTGTTTGTAAAAAGGGGGCCAATGTCCATGAATGTGTGACAGTGTCCCCTGGTGTAATTGCCCTCTTTTGCTATGATCCAGGCCCTTAACAAATCACCCAGCCACTTTCCACATCTGCTGTATGTCAGCATCTGCCAGACGCGCTCACCCGTCCCGGACGCTGCCAGCAAGCCTTCATTACGCCTGCTGCTGAACAGGTAGAAGCGTTTGTGCAATTACCAAACAGTGCTACCGACCTTGTGTTCGCCTAGACGTCCTAAAACATCGCTCTCACATAATGCCCAAAAGTTTTGGTCTAATGATTTCTGTCCATTGTGTTTTTGACACATATGCTGCATATGCACAGTAATTGGCTTCCAGTTCCTTTGTGTTTTATAGGATTCAAAGTGTTCTTTAAGATAATTGTGAGGAGTGTTACAAGTATTGTGCTATTTATTTTTTAGACACATTTGAACAATTCTGCAAATTGAATGCTTTTAAATGACATGCAATTAGTGCTGTTTTACTGTATTCTGAAAAATATTTGTATTTTCTGAAGGAAACGGCATCACGAGGCAGCAAAACAATTCATAAAGTTTTAGATTAGATCAAGTTTTAGGCTTTGGTTCTCTATGAATGAAATGACTACACAAGAATCAACACATAAAGGCAGCTATAAATAGTTCAGTATATGCAACAATGATCAGAATAATCACAGTTATGTATGCAAACATTAAGATGACTCAATCACCGTCAGCTAATATTTTTTCATTTCAGAATTACTAAAAATAATCATTTAGAAAAACCAAAATAGCACATTTAAGGCTGAAATTATCTACAGAACAAATGTTTTTTATGGAAAATCTGCAAGTGCTTCGGGATAAATGAACTAGAAATTTACATCAGAACGCTCTAGGAAAATCAAAGCAATGCTACTTTAAAGCACTGTAACGAGCATCGCTTTTCAGAGACCGATTAAACTCTTTACACCCCTCGTAAGATTTTTAAAGTCTCTTTTCCCCATTTAAAGAGGCGAATCCACAGGATTTTAGTGCCTTGAAGTTGTAATCTTCAAAAGAGTGACATTTCAACAGTTTCCCATTCTATTGTCCATCTGCACTCTGGATAGGATAAAGAGACAAAGTCAAACAAAGAGTACATGCCCATCCGTAAACAGAGCTCCACCTTGAGACGCGACTACATGAATGATTCGACATTTAGCAGACCTTCGTAGTGCTCTGATGAGTTTATTGGTCAGGAGGTGGGGATGCTGGAACAGTGGGGAGGTTTGTCCGTAAGTGTGCTCCTCTCCCCAAACAGTGCACCCATAGTTTTCCTCTTGGCCCCAGCAGCTGCTGTCCTCAAACTCTCCACCTTACCTCTTGTGTGTTCTTTATCTCCAGTATACCTGAGCCTATGTTGTGCCCCCTGGGCCACACTTTTGTGCTTTGGTCCTGTGTAAACAGATGTGCACAGTGTCAGGTCTACAGAGAGGAAGTTGTAAACTTGCAGGAAAGACTTCAGCCTCCTTTCTTATGGAGCTCAGTCAGTGCAAGGCACCGGGCTTAGACATGCTAATGCAAGCAAACAGTCCCTGTTCGGACATTGATCGTCTGAAGTTTGACCATGTCACAACCACTAAATATACACTGCAGGCTGTCAGCAAACAAGCAGAAATGCACTGAATGGCAGCAGGGGAGGTGGAGTCGCTCTGTTTCATAAAGGAGAGGAGAGGAATACACATCTGTGATCTGAGGTGTGGACAAGGTTTAGATATGGTGCGTGTGTGTGGTTTTCTGCAAATGCACTTGTCTTTATGATCTACTGTGAGTATTTGGACATTTAAAGCTGCTTACATTTTTTTTGAATATCTAACTTGTGGAGATTGGCATTTTTGTTATTATCTTTTTTGGACGTATGAAGTTAGTTCACCTCAGATTCACACGGTTGTAGTTAATCTTCATCTTCCTTTGAATTTGGGTGGATATTTTGTTATCTAAAGCAGTGACATTAGAAAGTGTTAGTTCAACCAAAATGGAAAATTCTGTCATTTACTCTCCTTCGTGTTTTTAAAAAACAAAAACAAAAAAACCTGTATTATTTTCTTTCTTCTGTGGAACACAAAAGGAGATATTATGGTGTGGTCCAAACAAGATTTAACTCCATTGACTTTCATTGTTTGAACAAGAAAAACACTTCAAAATGTCTTCTTTTGATGGCAGACTTGTCATTTTTATGTTAATGATCCCTTTGGCCCCTGTAAATATCTCAGGCTTTTATATATTGGACGGAATCAGTAGCTTTATTTTTATGTATGTATTTCGGGGAACTGAATTAGAGAAGTAGCTATAATCACTAGCAGTAACAGTAGCGCCTCATTTATCAGTGCCGGACACACATTTATTGATCTATCACAAGCTTTGGCAGATTGATGCCACGTAGTGAACGTTAAGATACTGAATGGCTTAAGCTATTGACTCCATGAAATAAGCCAACACACTGCACTGACCCCATATAATACATAATCATCTATTTGCCAGCAAAAAAAAATATTTGACAGCAATATTGGCAGTTTTATTGAGGGATGCAATATTATTTCTCATTTGTTACTGAAACTGTTACTTTTTGAATAATTTTTGACAGAAATTACAATACAAATCTCTGATAAATACACTTGGGTATACAGCTCACCCAAGAACAAATACAAATCTTGTATGTAAACATACAGTGCAAACGAACATTGAAGAGTGTAGGCTGTAAGGTTTAGATGCAACAGTTTCTTGAGTTATGCCACTTGTCATCCTGGGAACTTGTCATTGTATTGATTGAAATGAGCGCAGGTTTAAGTACTGAATGCTCTCAGCCAATCGAAAGGGATCCCGTTAAACGCTCGTGTTCACGCGTCTCCTCTAATGGACCTGTTAAAGAGCTCGAGCACACCTTCATCCACTGACATCTGATCCGACGAGAAGCTGCCTGCTTAGTACGAGCATACACAAGTAAGAGATCAGAGAGACTACTGGAACTGCAAAATGCTTGAATATCAGGAGTCCGGGATGAAAACAACATCAGGTCATCGGATTTCCTTTTCGATTATTGACATATTGGATCCCAGAAAGTTTACAAGTAAAAGGACAGCAGCAGTATCAGAGGAAGAGCGGACATCATCTTCAGAAAATACAGAATTTGGAAGTTTGGAGAGAGAGCACAATGGGAAAGGATCGCTTTCCATCTGCAATAATATTGGTGAGAATGAAATACGATTCATAATAAAAATCAAAGTGAGAATTATTAGGTGACTTTAAAGCGGGTTAACTTTTGATTTAAAAAAACTGCTTTTTTGGCCGCAATTGATTGAGCTTCATCTCGCATTTTAAACAAAACACTTATAGCCTGTGTGATGTGTATAACTATAATTATGTAACAAATAATTCTTACGTGATACTTCTGACGTTCGCGACGTGTGTTCGCGGACTCTGGCTAACTTAATCCAACTTTTAACAAAACATTGTTCTGAAACGCTGTTGAAACCTATTCTTACATGTTAAAAAAAAGCCTAATACATTTTTTTTGAGACATACACAACCTTGTCTTTGGGTCACCTTAGAGATGCCATATCCCATATGCTATTTGTGAATGAAAAAAACAAACAAACAAACACTAAATTCTTATTATTTTGTCAAATAGGCTTACGCCTAGAGTTGTATGAATTATTTTCACATAGGCTATATAGTAAAAAACGGTTATACATGACGTTTTTCACTGTAGATCTCCTCCAAATAGATCTTTTGTGTAGAATTTGACCTTCTCATTTCCAAGACCGCGTTTTCTTTAAGCAGCCGCAGCTGAGTAAGTGATTGCCATTGGGACAGTCAGGGCAGATAATTGTTTAAATCGTCCCATTGAGGATGCCTGCGCTCACTTTGATCGATATCCCATTACTGGATGCTGCATATCTCCCTCCAGCAGCTTGCGGCTCCAAACTTCAAGCCCCTGCCATGTCTGATCCCAAATATCGTTCGATTAAAACTTCCCTTTAAATAGATGACATTTATTGATCTGCCGACAAATATGAAACTCCATTAGCGCGTCATGGCTGGATGGCAGAGCTGGATTTAACTAGGGTTTCTTTCCGCAACATGACATTTGAGGCGATTTGTGATTTAGAAATTGTTGGGGGATTATGGTCCATTCCACGCCAGTCTTTCCTGGAAATCAACACACAGTTACAGCCTCCCCCTATTCCTCATTCATTCGTTTAATAGTCAGCTCTTTATAGCTGCCAGTTACCCTATACTTTCTTCAGCTCATTACATGCATAATATTTATTTTGATAATTAATTTCTTATCTAGCTACTGTTATTTTTATTTATTTATTTATTTATTTATTGTAGGGCCTATTGTAAACTGTTTTTGACCGCATTGAAAATATAGGCTATACATCAGTTGAATTCTAGGCTATCTGAATTCTATATTCTTGTCTGTATACTTAAAGGCCCTACATTAGCCTAAAATAATTGGAAATTCTGATTATTATTATTAGACCAATTCAAAACAATAATTCATATAAAAAAGCTTAGTCATTTTATTCATAGCCTATATGCATTCTCACCTATACAGGCGCTGTATGGCGCCTCAGATTTATAATTTTACTCTTAAATAATATCTCATTAATGCCAGCCAAAATACCAAACAGATCACCCTAGCAGCACTCTTTTCAAGTCTAACTTTAAAGGGTTAGTTCACCCAAAAATGAAAATTATCCCATAATTTATTAACCCTCAAGCCAAACTTAATCGGAGTTATATTAAAAAATATCCTGGCTCTTCCAAGCTTTGAAATGGGAGTGAATAGTAACTGAGATTTTGAAGCCCAAAAAAGTGCATCCATCCATCATAAAAGTAATTCATACGGCTCCAGGGGGTTAAAGGGCTTCTGAAGCGAAGGAAAAATGTCCATATTTATAACTTTATAAACTATAATCACTGGCTTCCAGTAACGGCCGTACACAAATCGAGCTCCGGCGGAAGAGTGACCTCTGACCTGACGCATGATGTTTTGACGAAGGCGGAAGCGCAGAAGATAGAGCAAAACAAAACACTGGTCACGAATTACAAGTCTAAAGGGAGAATTTTTATTGAGAAATGTCAGAGGAGCTTGAGTTTGTTGCCCTATTTGGTCTATCTCACCTAAGCTTACAATACTCCTACGTCGGGTCACTACGGCCATAATCGGAAGCTAGTGATCATAGTTTATAAACGTATAAATATAAGTTAAAGAATAATACACGCACCTTAAAAAACGCACCTTTATTAACCCACTGGAGTCGAATGGATAACCTTTATGATGGATGGATGCACTTTTTTGGACTTCAAAATATCAGCTTGTTTACTCCTATTTTCAAAGTTTGAAAGAGACAGGATATTTTTTTTATATAGGCTAACTCTGTGTTTGGCTGTAAAGAAAGTCATATGGCTTGAGGGTGAGTAAATTATGGGATTTTCATTTTTGGGTGAACTATCCCTTTAAGGCCTGTGATCAATTTCAAGCTTTTAAAACGGATTTAAACTTTCAGATAAGGCAAGGGGTCAAATGTGATAGTTTTTTATTATAATTATTGATAATAGGCTAGATAAATTCATTTCCACTCTTGTCTGGGGTTCTTCTTCGGTTTTACTAAAATGTAATACATTTACTAAAAACAACCAGAAAGACACTTGACATATGGATTTTTTACTGGCAGGAGATCAATCAGCTGATGACCATCAAAGCTGCGTCAGACTGCATCCTCCTGATCCCGATGTTGACTTGGACTCTTCAGCCTCTCTCAGAAGCTTAAGATCGGGCTTTTCTCCTTGTGAAGATCCGGATGAAGCAGGTGAAGAGAGAATCACTCCAGCGCCGGATGATGTGTCGCGCCAGCGGAGGCGTCGCTCAGATCACAGCTGCGCGAAGCCGCGGCGCGCCAGAACCGCGTTCACCTACGAACAGCTGGTGGCTTTGGAGAACAAATTCCGCGCCACGCGGTATTTATCCGTATGCGAGCGACTAAATCTCGCGCTTTCCCTGAGCCTGACTGAAACCCAAGTCAAGATTTGGTTCCAGAACCGAAGAACCAAGTGGAAGAAGCAGAACCCCGGTGCCGAGAGTTCCCTGCAACCCGGCACGAACTCTCTGCCCAACATCAGCTCGACCTGTGGGTCCACATCTTCCCTCCACCATACATTTAGCTCCGGGAACGTGATCTTTCATTCTGGCCCGGTGCACCTGGCATCTTCCGGTGGGCTCCTGCATCCGTTTTTGCCTGATGGCTTCCTTCAGCCAGCATTCTTTCCCCAATTATGAATTCTGAAAGAAGGAATGATCATAGACTACGTGTAGCCTAAATGTGAATTTATCAAGTGGATTACTTGTTCAATTATCCTCAGCAGGATGGGATTGTTCTTGGCTTGATGTAATAATTGATTAGACCTAACATGAGTTTAGATCAACTGTTTTCACTGACAGCTGTGAGCAGAAATATAGATAAGATGGACCAAACCCTGGGCCTCAAGAATGATAAATCTGAAAGATGCACTCTCTCAAATGCAATTGTAAGCACAGATGATCTGAGAATCTAATCATGGTCCACCCTGGCAACCACCCACTTTAAATCTTAGAGCTGAATTGTATATATGTGTATCTTCTATTATTCATGTTAGCAGTTTGATACGTCACTGTAGATTATATCATCAAATTCTTTAAAGTCCCCCTATGGTGAAACCCAAGCTTTTAATGTCGTTTATGTCTATGGGGTGTTTTTTATATGCTTAAGACCACAAATTCATAAGTCAACTCAATTGCTCAGTTTTTTCTCCTTAAAGGGTTAGTTCACCCAAAAACGAAAGTGATGTCATTAATGACTCACCCTCATGTTGTTCCAAGCCCGTAAGACCTCCGTTATGTCACATGGACTACTTTGATGATGTCTTTGTTTCCTTTCTGGACAAGGACAGTATACCAATACATTTTCAAAGGAGGGACAGAAAGCTCTCGGACTAAATCTAAAATATCTTAAACTGTGTTCCGAAGATGAACGGAGGTCTTACGGGCTTGGAACGACATGAGGGTGACATAATTTAAAAAAAATTTTTGGGTGAACTAACCCTTTAAAACTGCAGTGAACCAAAGACAGTCTCAAAAACGAAATCGCTGGTGTTTCTGACATCACAAACTACCTTGTAACCAATCAGTTCAACGTGTGGTTGTCAACGAGTGGATCTCTGAGCTGGTGTGAGTGAGTTGAGGCGGGGCTAATTTGCATATTCATATAACGCGTATACTTAATAAGGCAAGGGACGTAAAGTTACATTCAAGCTATTTTAAGGCATGAATATATTTTTTTCCAAGGGGAACGAGTTTAAATATGTCATTTTGGTGATCAAAAATGAAAACAATTATATTTACTACAGGGGGACTTATTTAAAGACATTGATGTTTATTACAATGTAGAAACATGTTGATGATGTCATCAGTAACAATAAAATCTGTAGGTCATTTGTTTTTTGTATCAATCAGAAATAGACAAGGGGTAACAGTGTATTGATCACTATGAATATATGTAATTATTTATTTTGTCTACACCAATACATAATACCAGGTTACATTGTGTATTCTCTTCATAAACACTAGATGGCGTCACCTGAACACTTATAGAAGAGATTGAGTCCATTATTTGAGACATTTCTGAAATTGTTTGCTTAAATGATGGTGCATAAAATAAAAAGTAAACGGCTATACGACTTAAATAAAATAGTAAAATATATAAAATATGTATAACCCCCTGGAGATCTACATTTGATAAGTGGCCCTATGCAATTTTGAAGTATGCAAACAGCACACTAATATCATAAGTATTATTCTTACTTGCAGCAGTATTTTGTTTGTTTTTGTGTTGAAATTCAGTAGTGTGTATATTTTGTTTGCATATTTTATGTCTAGATCAATGGAGCAGCACGAATAACAACTTTAACGTGTATGATCAAGATCAAGAGGGCCTGGGAAATATTGATCTGAGTGGCACTGCAGGCAACTATAGCCTACATTACACAATACTATAACACAATATGACCACTAGAGGCCAGTGCTGAACCAGATCTCATTAGATTGACGTGACAGTTTTACAATGAATTTTATTAGGACTGTGCTGAATGGTCTCACAGTTAAACACTTACAATGACAGTTTTGGCTCATTTTTCTAACACTCTTAACATTCTCTAAACTGTAAGTGCAATTGTCACAACTGTTTGCTGGAACATCAGAACCCTATTGCATGTCTGCAACATGTAGTAACTCACCCAAAACATTTATTTTGATGCTTCAAAACCTAGTTATTGTGTCAGTCATTGTGTGAGCAACACTGTTAAAAATGTTTCATGTTTTTTCAAATATTAGGTATATACAAATTTCAGTTTTTCCTACTTTTTTGTTGACACTGGCTGCTTTCTATATACAAGAACGTCTGTATATCACACTGAGCTTACATATTTCAATAGGTTAACATTTAATGGGAAGTCAATACAGAAAAATAGCATTTTCGTTTTTACAGTACATTTATTTTTGTAGAAATGTGTTACATGTTCACAGTTGCTTTTTCATTTTTAGATACTCTCTTATGTCTTCCACTAACACCACCACACATTATTCCATATCTTCATATTGCTCTTCCACGACAAGCAACTGTGAATTTTCAGTTGACGTAACACATTTCTACAAAAATAAATGTATAGCTGCTACTGTTAAGGCTTGTGAAGTTCCTCCATGTTTAAAATGGTAGTGATTGTGCTGGGAAAACTCCATATGTTTCCAAACTTGAGATTGTGATTCCTATTTCATTAGAACGGCAGGCCATTTGCCAACTTAGTAGACATTACAAACATCCCCTGTCACATATTTATGGAATATACATGAATGTCTGACAGATTTTGATCACCACATGGATAATTTTGCATGCGATGGCTCACATGATGAAAGAATGTTCAGAGGTTGTGAAGAGTTTTACAACTTCTCACTGAGAATCATCTCAGCATTTAGTTATTGTGCAAATAGTAGAAGCAGACAATGGTACTTACTCTTTTACACACATGCAATTTGCTTAAATCAATACGAAATTCAAATCTGTTGTGAACAAGAAACTAATTGTTCAGAGATCTGAACTTATTGTTTTGAGAGAGAGAAAAATCTCATTCGAAAATTGAGCCAAAGCGTTTGAGAAAACTGTGTTTGTGTGTGTGTGTTTGTGTTGGAGCTGAATCCAGCTCTTATGGCCTGTGTGTTTCCCTGGCCGAGTGTTATTCTGTATTGTGGCTCTTGTTTCATCACCCTTTTCTCCAGTCTGGAACCCAGTGGATTTTCACCACCTCCTGAGATTTCACGAGACAGTCCATCACTTCAGTTATTTGACATTCTTTTACAATTACGTAACCACATGGCTTAAAAATTATTTTCAATGATAAAGTTTGTGGACACATTGTGGATAGTGTTTGGTTGATTTATTAGTATTGTTTTACTTAAGAAGACAAAATTGTCAAGTCAAGTGCTGTACAGATTGTTTCAAAGTGATCAGTGATTCAAAGCAGCTTTAAAAAGATTTAAAAGTGTCATTCTTCAGCTGAAGTCAGTTCAGTGTTGATTCAGTTCCATTATATAGATCATCAATTATTAAATTAGTTCAATTCGGCTATTAAGCAGCTCTGCAGAAAACAGTGATGTCATCGTCCAGCTCAGTCAGTTCTCATACAACAGCGTCAGTACAGTCAGATCAATAATATTGTTGAATATTAAGTGTCCCCAACTAAGCAAGCCTGAGGCGACAGTGGCAAGGAACCCAAACTCCATCAGGTGACAGAATGGAGAAAAAAACGTTGGAGAAACCAGGCTCAGTCGAACAAAGGAATGAATGAACGTGGTGTGGTTTAATTCCAGGCTGCATCACATAGTCAGAAAACAGATTGTGGACTGATATCATTCAAAATATTTCATCCAGATCCTTCTGCTTGCCGATCGGATTCATCACGCCAGTATGGAGACAAAGCTGGTTATAGGTCAGTGCAGAGGTCTTGTGTGGTTCTCATGGTCTTTGGCTGTCGTGTCGATGTCGATGAGGCCTTCGCAGGAGATAGTCTAGTTGACATGGTCTCTGCTGGCATTCAGGGCTGTGTTGTGGTCGTGTCTGGGTGCAGGTCCTTCATCTGATCTGGATATGAACTGGATCCGGCTTATACAGTAACCTCAGGATAAGGATGAGACAGACAAGACTAAAATTAGCATAGATGCCATTCTTCTTACAATGTAACTAGTACATTGGATGTTTGTGGAAAGTGCTCCTGGTTCTCGGGTGCGTTTCCCGAAAGCATCGTTATCCAACTATGATCGCAATTTCCATTGAACTCTATTGGTAACGACGGAACTTGCGACCATATTGGCTAACGATGCTTTCGGGAAACGCACCCCTGGTTGACCTACTTTATGCAGCCTATTTAACAGATTTTAATTTATAGAAATGTGATAGTGTGTTAACCAGGTTAAAGAGATGCGTTTTCAGTCTATATTTAAACTGACAGTGTATGCCTCCCAAACAACGCTAGATAGGCTATTCCAGAGTTTAGGTGCTAAAGGATCTACCGCCTGCAGTCGATTTTGATTGTGATACTCCTAAAGTTTTCTCATTAAAGTGGTGGGATGCCCAACAAAACCTAATGCAAATTTGAATGTTTATATTAATAATAACTATTTATGGTCCCGAGTGTTGATTGGTCAATAGGTGTTGTGTTCTATCAGAAGATCAAGGTTTGGCTTATGTTTTTGAAAGAAGTCTCTGATTTTCAAAAATACAGTAATATTGTGCAATATTATTACAATTTATAATTGCTGTTTTTCATTTGAATGTATTTTAAAATGTAAATTATTCATGTGATGGCAAAGCTGAATGCTGTCATTACTCTAGTCTTCACAGGATCCTTCAGAAATTATTCTTTAAAATGAAAACAATTTTAAAATAGAAAAAAGTTATTTTATTATAACATTTCACAGTATTACTGTTTTAATGTATTTTGACCAAATAAATGTATCCTTTTAAAACTGTAAAGTTTTAATTATTCCAAAAATTTGACAAGTCGATTAAATATAGATTGATCAGTCACATGACTGGCAGTGAGATGAATGAGGATGCTAAAGGATAACTCTCTCTCTCTCTCTCTCTCTCTCTCTCTCTCTCTCTCTCTCTCTCTCTCTCTCTCTCTCTCTCTCTCTCTCTCTCTCTCTCTCTCTCTCTGGGTATATTAATTGGATGCTATAATGAATGGGGAAAGTGTTAGATAACAGGCATTTGTGTTTATAGTGGTAACAAATGATACACTTTAAGAACTCTATTCTGTTGAGAGTGTGTATATAGTGAATACTGTGAGCAGTGTGTGAGAGAGATGGTGCGGTGGGAGATTTACAGTGTGCTCTATTTTGGGTCAGCTGGGAAAACGGTGAAGTGTTTTGGTCAAGGAATAGCTTGTGAGTTTATGCCAAGGGCTTCTCTAGTCACCCTGTTCCTCTCCCATTGTTTCCTGGAATGCTGGGATACATGTGGCCTAATGAGGGGCAGTTCAGTCATGCACACAAATCTGAAGCAACGCCTTCCGATAGCTATTTCCCTAAAATGTGAGTTCTGAGTGTGCAGTACATTCCATTTTTGACCATCTTTAAACACAAGGAGGACTACTTTATGTGGAGGCTTTTACACAAACATGTGC